GATCTGCTCAGCTTGGCCTCCCAAAGTGCTGGGATTACAGGCGTGAGCCACTGCGCCCAGACTGCTTCTTCATTTTTTAACCCAGCAACTTGCACATGTCCGGACACATAGTGTGTGTTTGTTTTTTTATTGGTTTTCCAGAAATATGCTTACTGAGGCACATAGTGTTAACTCAGGAGTGCAGTGGTCTTTTCTTCATGCATTAATAAATTAACACAGTAACAGAGCTGTTCTGGGTACCCCCCACCCCAAAAGTATATCAACCAAGACACGGAATCAGGTATCCAGCGTAGCTCCTTTTAGTCGACTTTCAACAGGGCTCCGTTGAGAAGATTAGTTCCTGCACATCTTTTTCATGCATCCCATTCTGATCACTGGAGATTGTTATTACAGGGGTCCGTGTCATTCGAGGACGTGGCTGTGGATTTCACCCGACAGGAGTGGCACAGACTGGACCCTGCTCAGAGGACCATGCACAAGGATGTGATGCTGGAGACCTACAGCAACCTGGCATCTGTGGGTGAGGATGATTGTCCATGTAACTCCTAGGAGCATGTGTTTCCTTTCTTGGTTGCTGTAACATGTGCAGCCTTGTGAGGGTTTAATGATATTGAGAGTCACAGATGAGTAGTCAGTTTAGGGCACCAGGAAAAATGTGTGTGTTCTTACTTCCCCAATGAAAGCTTTAAATGGGCCCCCTTCCTTGTGCAGCTCATGAAGATGCACCTTCCTCCTCCATCAGAGGCCCTAGAGCTCAGACAACTTGGCCCACGTCCTGTGCCATTTCCCATTAACAGGCCTCTGCGTGGCCAAACCAGAGATGATTTTCAAGTTGGAGCGAGGAGAAGAGCTGTGGATATTAGAGGAGGAATCCTCAGGCCATCGTTACTCAGGTAAGCGGGCAAGAACTGGACATATGGAAAACAGGGGAAATAAGAGCCCGGAAATTCAGGTCAAAGGGTGCAACACTTTCTAGGAATCTCTTTTTAGAGGTCCTAGCTCTTTGAAAATAAGGACGGAAGGTCTACATGCTTCAGATACCAAAGTCACACATCTTAATATCACACTCAAACTTCAGTGCTTTCTCCTGTTTTATCTTGATTTTTTTTTTTTTTTTTTTTTTTTTGATGGAGTCTCACTCTGTCACCCAGACTGGAGTGCAGTGGTGTGATCTCAGCTCACCACAACCTCCGCCTCCTGGGCTCAAGCAATTCTCCTGCCTCAGCCTCTCGAGCAGCTGGGATTACAGGTGCATGCCACCATGCCTGGCTAATTTTTGTACTTTTAGTAGAGATAGGGTTTCACCATGTTGGCCAGGTTGGTCACAAACTCCTGACCTCAAGTGATCCACCTGCCTTGGCCTCTCAAAGTGCTGGGATTATAGGCGTGAGCCACCGCACCTGGCCTTTATCTTGATTTTTAAGTTATTTACCACTGTTATTTATCTCTGCCTCATCTTAAGCATTTATTCTTTTATTTTTTTGAGACAGAGTATCTCTCTGTTGCCCAGGCTGGAGTGCAACGGTGCAATCATGGTTCAACCTCAACTTAACACCTCAACTGCCCCGTTTTAAGTGACCTTTCCAGGGCAGCCTCCCTAGTAGCTGGGACTACAGGCGCACACCACCATGCCTGGCTGATTTTTGTATTATTATTATTATTTTTTTTGTTGAGACAGAATCTCACTATGTTGCCCAGGCTGGTCTTGAACTCCTGGGCTCAAGTGATCCACCTGCCATGGCCTCCGGAAATGCTAGGGTCAGAGGTATGAGCCACCACGCCTGGCAACATTTATTCTTCCTTCCCTCCATTGCCTTGGATGCTTTCTGTTATCAGGCATTCGTTCATATATTCATTTAGTCATCCATGAAACTTTAAATGAGTATCAGTTATATGCTGGGTATGTTCTAGGTGTGGGAAGCTGGTAGTGAATAAAATAATATCTCTGTTCTCTTGGAGATTACAATATAGTAGGGGAAAGTGACCAGAAACAACTAAATACATCATATGTTTGATGTTGAAAAGAAAATCAGTGCAAGGTAAGAAGGATAGATATTGATATGTGCTTTTAGGAAATAGAGGGTTTTTGTTTGTTTGTTTGTTTGTTTGTATTTTTCAGATGGAGTCTCACGTCTGTCACCCAGGCTGGAGTGCAGTGGCACGATCTCGGCTCACTGTAACCTCCACCTCCTGGGTTCAAGTGATTCTCTTGCCTCAGCCTCCCAAGTAGCTGGGATTACAGGTGGGCACCATTATGGCCAGCTAATTTTTGTATTTTTAGTAGAGATGGAGTTTTGCCATGTTGGGCAGGCTGATCTCAAACTCCTGACCTCAAGTGATCTGCCCACCTTGGCCTCCCAAAGTGCTGGGGTTACAGGCATGAGCCACTGTGCCCGGCTGGAATAGAGTTTTAAAGGTTGTGTTAAGGAGTTTAATTTTATACTGTGACAAGAGAAGCCAGTTTGGGATTTTACATAAATGAGTGACATGCTGTGATTTGTTTTTAAAGGATCTCTCTCACTGCTGTGTGGCAATGGTTCTGTTGGGGATAATGCCCTCAGACATGATAATGACTTTCTTCACCATCAGAAGATTCAAACATTGGATCAAAATGTTGAATATAATGGATGCGGGAAAGCCTTCCATGAGAAAACAGGCTTTGTTAGACGTAAAAGAACACCCACAGGAGATAAAAGCTTTGAATGTCATGAATGTGGGAAAGCTTATTGCAGGAAATCAAACCTTGTTGAACATCTGAGAATACACACAGGAGAGAGACCCTATAAATGTGGTGAATGTGCAAAAACCTTCAGTGCAAGATCATACCTCATTGCTCATCAGAAAACTCACACAGGGGAGAGACCTTTTGAATGTAATGAATGTGGGAAATCTTTTGGCAGGAAGTCACAACTCATCCTACATACAAGAACACACACTGGAGAGAGACCCTATGAATGTACTGAATGTGGGAAAACCTTTTCTGAGAAGGCAACCCTCACAATTCATCAGCGAACTCACACAGGGGAGAAACCCTATGAATGTAGTGAATGTGGGAAAACATTTCGTGTAAAGATATCCCTTACCCAACACCACAGAACTCACACAGGGGAGAAACCTTATGAATGTGGGGAGTGTGGGAAAAACTTCCGTGCAAAGAAATCCCTAAATCAGCATCAAAGAATTCACACAGGTGAGAAACCCTATGAGTGTGGTGAATGTGGGAAATTCTTCCGAATGAAGATGACTCTCAATAATCATCAGAGAACTCACACAGGTGAAAAGCCCTATCAGTGTAATGAATGTGGGAAATCTTTCAGGGTGCACTCATCTCTTGGGATCCATCAGAGAATTCATACAGGAGAGAAACCTTATGAATGTAACGAGTGTGGTAATGCTTTCTATGTGAAAGCACGCCTAATTGAACATCAGAGGATGCATTCAGGAGAGAAACCCTATGAATGTAGTGAATGTGGGAAAATCTTCAGTATGAAGAAATCCCTCTGTCAACACCGGAGAACTCACACAGGAGAGAAACCTTATGAATGTAGTGAATGTGGAAATGCCTTCTACGTGAAAGTACGCCTCATTGAGCATCAGCGAATTCACACAGGAGAGAGACCCTTTGAGTGTCAAGAATGTGGGAAAGCTTTCTGCCGGAAAGCACATCTCACAGAACATCAGAGAACTCACATAGGCCGGTCCTGGCGTTATACAATGAAGAAAGCCTCTGTCTGAAGACTTCCCTCACCATTGGATCAAGCTCCTTGGGGCATATGATCACCAGGGCACACAGTGAGCCTGTGAAAATTTGGCACCTACATTTGTATCAAAATATGTCCTGATCCCCTTAGGGGATAGCTCATTGCTTTTATTCAGATTTCCCTAATTAGTGGTGTGTGAACATCTTATCTGTTGATTGGCTATTTGGGTTTTTTTTTTCTGTGCATTGACTGTTCATGTCCTCTGCTCATTGTTTTCAAATGGGCTGTTCATCTCTTGCTTTTTGGTTTAAATGTTGTTGTTTTTTAACATATGAGAATATAAAAATCCTTTTTTTTTTCCAGTCATGTGTGTTGCAAATATCTTCTCCCAGACTGTCATTGGTTTTTAAAATTTTGTCATCTGTTTTCTTCTGCTGAAGTTTTATGTTTTATTTATTTATTTATTTTTTATTTTTTTTGAGATGGACTCTCACTCTGTGGCCCAGGCTGGAGTGCAATGGCATGACCTCAGCTCATTTCAACCTTTGCCTCCCGGGTTCAAGCATTTTCTCCTGCCTCAGTCTCTTGAGTAGCTGGGATTACAGGTGTGCACCACCATGCCTGGCTGATTTTTGTATTTTTGGTAGAGATGGGGTTTCACCATGTTGGTCAGACTGGCCTCTAACTCCTGACCTCAGGTGATCCACTCACCTTGGCCTCTGAAAGTGTTGGGATTACAGGTGTGAGCCACCGTGCCCGGCTAAAGTTTTATGTTTTAATATTATCAGTTTCAAGATGATAATATTCTCCTATACTTTCCTCTAAAGGTTTTCCTTTCAACATTTAGAATTTCAATCTCCTGTGAGTTTTTTGGTATAGCATGAAGTGTGCAATACATACTACTATATTGTCTTTATATAATTTTACATAAATGGGATCACACTGTATTTAAAGTTCTGCAGCTTGCTTTTTTCATGTAATGTTACCTTTCCAAGATCTGTCCTTGTTGATAAGTATAGGTCTGACTAGTCATTTATCTCTCCATTCCCGTAGTAAAAGACATTTGTATCTTTTTCAAGTTTAGTGTCTAAATCTAGAAGTGGAACTGATGGGTCATAGGATTTAGGCAATGTGCTGGTTATTAAGCTATTGTGTCCCAGCTCCAAACCCACCCTTCTTGACTGTGCTTTGTGACTCTACAAACTACATTTTGGCTTTGCCAACTGCTCCCTGTTGGGCCTTGCCAATAAGAGATACTAGATATACACTTTGGGGCTGGAGAGGGAAGAAGGGACTTGATCCTTTTTTTCTATTCCTATTAGCTCTTGGTCATTGGAGTGTCTGCTCAGCATTGCTTCTTCACTCAGACACCAGCAGTTCCTTGTCCTAGCAGCGGTTTAATCTAGTTTGCAGCTTTCCAGCACTCACAGATGGTAGCCCATCCCCTCTGAGACACAAGTATCAGCTGGCTGGTGTCACCTCCTTAGAGATGTGAATTCTAGCCACGTGGGACCCCTCCTCCATCTTTCTAAGTTTTAGTAATTTCAACTTATGGTTGGGTGTAGCGGATCGCGCCTGTAATCCCAGCACTTTGGGAGGCCAAGGTGGGTGGATTGCTTGAGCCCAGGAGTCAAGACCAGCCTGGGAAATATGGTGAAACCCTATCTCTACAAAAAAATTCAAAAATCAGCTAGGCATGGGACCACACCTGTGGTCCCAGGTACTTGGGAGTCTGAGACTGGAGGTTGAAGCTGCAGTAAGCCATGATTGCGCCACTGCACTCCAGCTTGGGCAACAGAACAAGACCCTGTCTCCAAAAAAATTGTCAACTTCTTCCCTTTGTTATGCCAGCCCAGCTGTTTTCTGCAGTTGCTACCTCCCTGATAACTTTAATGTTCTCCTTTTGTCTCTTCACTTACTTGGTTTACAACCTCATAACTAGTTAAAGTTATTTATAAGTTCTCTCTGTTAAAATAACTAGTGTGGTTTTTGTCTCCTTGTTGGCTCTGATTGATACAGAAGGTTTTTTTTTTTTAAACTTTATTAAGTATTGACATTTCCCTTCCAAATTGTATTAATTTATACTCCCATGAGCAGTTTGAGAAAGTTTTCATTTTGCCATTCAGCAGCACTTATTATCAGTCCTTTAAATTATTGCCAATCTGAAAGGTATGAAATGGCTTTGAGCCTTGGCTCCCATGAATGTGGTTTGTCTTTCTTTCTTTTGTTCTTTCCTTCTCTTCTCTTCTCTTCTCTTCTCTTCTCTTCTCTTCTCTTCTCTTCTCTTCTCTTCTCTTCTCTTCTCTTCTCTTCTCTTCTCTTCTCTTCTCTTCTCTTCTCCTCTTCTCTCTCTCTCTCTCTCTTCTTTTCTTTTCTCTTTTTATTTTTTGAGACTGAGTTTCACTCTTGTTGCCCAGGCTGGAGTGCAATGGCGTGATCTTGGCTCACTGCAACCTCTGCCTCCCGGGATGGAACAATTCTCATGCCTCAGCCTCCCGAGTAGCTGGGATTACAGGCGCACATGACCACACCCAGCTAATTTTTGTACTTTTAGTAGAGACGGGGTTTCACCATGTTGGCCAGGCTGGTCTCAAACTCCTCACCTCAGGTGATCTGCCCGCCTCAGCCTCCCAAAGTGCTGGGATTACAGGTGTGAGCTACTGCACCTTGCCTATTTATTTATTTATTTGAGACAGAATCTCGCTCTATCACCCATGCTGGAACGCAGTTGTGCAATCTTGGCTCACTGCAACCTCTGCCTCCTGGTTCAAGTGATTCTCATACCTCAGCCTGCCGAGTAGCTGGGACTATAGGTGCACACAACCACGCCCACCTGATTTTTGTATTTTTAATAGAGATAGGGTTTTGCTGTGTTGGCCAGGCTGGTCTTGAACTCCTGACCTCAAGTGATCTGCCTGCCTCAGCTTCCCAAAGTGCTGGGATTGCAGGAGTGAGCCACTGCACCTGGCCTGTCTTTATTTATTTTTTAACTCATCTTTCCTACCCTTCAGTAGTATTTTATGGTTTTCTCCAAGAAATTGTCTATGAAAGTTAACTTTTTAATAGCAGCTTTGCATTTATACAGGTATACACATATATATTTCTAAATATAATGATGTGGAGTTTATATATATATACTTATATATAATATTTGTGTCTCTCTCTCACACACACACATCTCCCTGCACAACATTTTTGTTTGATGTGGGCAGTTTTCATTTCATTTTACCCAAATATTTACCACCTTGATTGCACTTCATTACTTTCTGCGTTTCATCCAGGATCATTTTCTTCTGTGCCTGAAAAATACTCCAAAGAGTTTCCTTTAGTAAGAGTCTGTTAGTGGTGAGCCTCTCAGTTTTGTCTTAAAATGTTTTGCATTGTACCTTTTGTCGGTGGCTGGGGCCGGCATCGCGGGTGGTAAAAGATTTACCAAGACAGTCATGAATTAAAGAAACCAAGTCTATTAGAGGGAAAGTAGGTTGCAAGGAGGCAATGGGCAGCACAGCAGAGAAAGGGGCTGTCTGCAAAGAGGCAAGAGCTGGAGGGAAGTTGTATAGGGTTGTGCTGGAGGGGCTATGTGAAGAATGAGTTTGTGCTGCTGGGGCTTTGCACAGAACAAGGTATTTGGGAACAGGTTGTTGTGCCAGCAGGTTGTTTGCGATTAGATTAGTCATCTCTCAAAACAATGGTTCTTCCCCACCTTCTTGCTTATTTATCTTATTGGGACTCTATACCTTTTTGATAAGTAAAAGTGAATCCTTTACCTTAAATATTTGGTAGCACTGCACTATGTCACAGTAAGTTGATAAAAAATTAAGTACTTGACTGGGTACAGTGGCTCACACCTGTAATCCCAGCACTTTGGGAGGCCGAGGCGGGTGGATCACTTGTGGTCAGGAGTTCGAGACCAGCCTGGCCAACATGGCAAAACCCCGTCTCTAGTAAAAATTAGCTGGGTTTGGTGGTGCATGCCTGTAATCCCAGCTACTCGGGAGGCTGAGGCAGGAGAATCACTTGAACCCAGGAGGCAGAGGTTGCAGTGAGCTGGGATGGTTCCACTGCACTCCAACCTGGGTGACAGAGCAAGACTCCATCTCAAAAAAAAAAAAAAAATTTTAAATTAAGTACTTTTTTGCTTTTTTCCTGAGTATCCTTTAATGATTATCGTGACCAAAGGTATTTGAATTACTCATCAGCTACCCCACAATACAGCATATATTTGAATATATATAAAATATATTTTTTGTGTTTTCTGTACAGTATGCCCTCACTCTATTAAGTATTAATTAACTATATCAAGATGCCATTTCATCAATACTTCCGATCTTTAGCTCACTGCTTCTCCCCCCCTTTTTTTTTCTCTTTGAGATGGAGTTTTGCTCTTGTTGCCCGGGTTGGAGGTGCAATGGCATGATCTCTGCTCACTGCAACCTCTGCCTCCCGGGTTCAAGTGATTTTCCTCTCTCAGCCTCCTGAGTAGCTGGGATTACAGGCATGCACCACCACACCCAACTAATTTTTTGTCTTTTAAGTAGAGACAGAGTTTCACCATGTTGGTCAGGCTGATCTTGAACTCCTGACCTCAGATGATCTGCCCACATCGGCCTCCCAAAGTGCTGGGATTATAGGTGTGAGCCACTGCGCCTGGTTGATGTTTTTAAATTTTTATTATGGAATATGCCAAACATAAATAAAGATAATTTATAGTGACACAAAACAGAACAGTTGTTGCCTCTGGAGTGAAAATTGACTTGTAAGGGATAGGAGGGAACTTACTGGGGCGATGGAGATACTCCATATCTTCATTGGAGTGTGAATACAATAGTCATCAAGTGGGTTAACTTAAGGTTTATTTATTTTATTGTATATAAATTATATCTCAATTGAAATGTGAAAACAAAGCAATAAAACACCCCCTGTTCCCATTTCAGGAGTCCTGTCTGGGCTGCCTGGGAGGAAAACAGAAATACTGATTGCTAGAGCAAATAAAAGACTCTTGGCAGTAGGCGACTTGGTCCTCCTAAGGCTTTAGAAATTGTTTTGCCCCATGAAAATGACATGTTCTGAGGCCCCAGTCTGGGGTATACTGACTTTCATCAGCTACTGTCACCATCTGTGGTGCTCCCTCACTTGCCAACACTGCACTGTAGATTTGACTCCCAAGAGCCTAAGGATAGTCTCTGCCAATCCTCCAGTAGCCACCATCATAGTAGTTTTTACCCCCATGAGTCAGCAGTCCAGTGTCTACTAACCCCTCCATTAATTCAGAGCAGTTCTTACCACCCCTTTAAGCCAGAGCACGATGTCTGATCACCCACCATTAGCTCACATCATGTCTTATCACCAACCTTCACCCTCAGCTTAGTGTCTGATGATCTTCCATTAAGTCAGTATCATGTCTTACTTCCCTCCTTTAGACTTAGCATGATGACAGCTGACTCCCATTAGCTCACAGCCCTGTGTTTTGTCTTCCTGTTGACCTAATGTAGTGTCTGTTGACTCCATGTTAGCTTCACCATTTTGTTTGCTAATTCCCCATTGGCTACAGCCTCCCAAGTTGCTGGGACTACAGGCATGCGCCACCATGCCTGGCTAATTTTTAAATTTCTTTGTGGAGACAGGATCTTGCTATGTTGCCCAGGCTGGTCTCAAACTCCTAGACTCAAGAGATCCTCCTGCCTCAGCCACCCAAAGTGTTGGGATTACAAGTGTGAACCACCGTGCTGGGCCTCTCTGCTGATTTTTTATTAGCT